TGCTCCTCTTTGATAGACTTTTTTTTCTCCTGGTGTGGAGCAATGTGGTTTACCTTTGCCGCACAGGCAATTGCAAATGATGCGCCCTGTTTTTAGTGCTTGCTCACTTCACACGGGCAATGCACTATTATCAACGCCAAGCTAGTTAGCACTGCCACCACCATTGCACCAGAGTTGATCCACATCTTACTCCTTTTCCCCGCGGTGTGCTGCGGTGCAATGTTCTGTTTTGTGGCCTGTACTAATGTTATGCCGTATACCAGGCATTTGCAAGGGACTTGCAAGGGCATTCATCCACCTGTAATTTTTTTCCCTCCTGGTGATTGTCACTGTGACATAGTATTACGGTAGTATATTTGCAATATACTGCTACCGTATGGCACGGCACTTAAAAGGAACTTGTCTTCTCCATATATTTGTGCCGTGGAAGGGTTTCGCTTGGTCATTCAAGCTGCCTGGCTACACCTCACCACCCACTCATTGCACCAGACGGGAGTTACAGCAACCTGCTGCCTGCGTTGTAGGTCCTCCTCCCTAACACTGCATTGTGTGTTTGTGGGGGTTCATCTGACAGGGTCCAGACAGACCACGCCCCCACTACTGATCACCAGTAATCCATGCGCTGTGTGCACTTAGCCTAGTCTGTACACGTGTGCAGCACATGCTGTGATGATGCAGCGGCAAGGCATGCACAGTGCCATGTGGGGGCACGAGAGGTGCCACCTATGGCAACACATGCATATGCCACATTTCTCTGTCCGCCCACCCATGGCACAGCCAGCAGCACAGCCGAATAGTGTCTGCTGCTGCTGCTTCCACCGCTGCCGCTGCTGCTGCTCAACATTTGTGCTGCTGCTGCTGCTACGAACCCCATCAGTGAACCACATCATCGATGCCTCACTGTGCCGCCACTGCTCCCCACCCACGGCATAGCGAGCAGCAACCCAAAAGAGCCTGCTGCTGCTGCTACCAACCAATTAGCAGATCAGCAGATGAGCAGAGAGCAGATGAGCGGATGAGCAGATCACATCACCAATGCCTCCCCTTGCCGCCACTGCCCCCTCCCATGGCACAGCGAGCAGCAAAGCCAAACAGCAGTGCCACCCTCTCCGCCTCCTGCTGCCTCAACACTGCCTCCCCCCGCTGCTGCTGCTGCTGTGCCCACTGGGAGTGCAACAGGCCAGTAGCACAACCCTGCTGCTGCTGCTGCCACCAGGGGAGAAGCATCAGCCAAGGGGGAGGCGAGTGTGAGGGAATGCCATCTGTGGCTCTCCAAACAGCCGAGGGGATTGGCAGCAAGATGGAAGGGCCAATGCGAAACGCGACTGTCAGTGAGGTGTAACTGCAGTGTGGGTGATGTGGCTCACTCAACTCAAGCCCAGCGCCCTCCACTCTGCTCTCAGAAACAGTTTGATCGGAAGCCGCATAGACGTCACTGCGAAAGGTCCCTAGCACCCCCTGCATTGTCCACACCACCCACCATCACTCCTGCCCCTGCCCCACCCATCGGTGCTGCTATCTCACTATCAGCCACACGCCCCTCAAGGAGAGTGCTGCTCATGCGCCAGCAGGGTGGAGTGCAGGCGCTGAAGCTCCGCCCCTATGCGCGCACAGATGGCGTCCAGCAGGGCAGAGGGGGGGGGGACATGGTGCTGGGAAGGACGGCGGATGGGGGGTGTGCTGGTCGGTGGGGGTGGAGCTGCTGCTGGTGGTGCGAGCGATCGTGTGCTGCGCAGGCTGTGCATGCTGGCTTTGGTGCTGGTGGTGGTGGTGGTGATGGTGCTGGTGATGACGGTACGAGTGCAGCAGATCAGAGATGTCGATTGGATCGCCCACCATCACTGCCACCTGTGACATGGGAAGAGAAGGGACGGAGGGGAGGGGAAGGGAGGGGGCCGGGAGAGGAGAGGAGGGAGGGGGGGGAGAGAGGGTAGGGAGGGGAGAGAGGGGAGGGAGGGGAGAGAGGGGAGGGAGGGGAAAGGGGAGGAGGGAGGGGGAGAGAGAGGGGGAGGGGGGGGGGGGTGACAGGTTAGGGAGTGGAAACGGGCAGGCAGGCAGGGAGGGCAGGGGGGGCAGTGAGGGCAGGAAGGCAGGTGCAAAAGGTACGAGAATTGGGAAGAGGGATTCCCACAGCAGTGGTGGGTGTGGATGGTTAGAGCGGCCAGGATCACATCACAGATGGCTAAAGAATCTGAAAAGGCCCACAGTGCACAGCCCAAAGAATGACGAGTCTGAGGGGAGATGCGAGGAGGTGGGTGGTGATGAAGGGAGCGGTGACAGGTGGTAATGTGTATGGTGCATCGATGTGGATAGATGGGCATGGATGGGCATGGATTGGCATGGGATGGCATGGATGGGCATGGATGGGCATGGATAGGCACGGATGGGTATGGATGGGCATGGATGGGCATGGATAGGCATGGATAGGCATGGATAGTCATGGATAGGCATGGATGGGCATGGATAGGCATGGATAGGCATGAATAGGCATGGAGGGCATGGATAGGCATGAATAGGCATGGATGGGCATGGATGGGCATGGATAGGCACGGATGGGTATGGATGGGCATGGATGGGCATGGATAGGCATGGATAGGCATGGATAGTCATGGATAGCATGGATGGGCATGGATAGGCATGGATAGCATGATGAATAGGCATGGATGGGCATGGATAGGCATGAATAGGCATGGATGGGCATGGATGGGCATGGATAGGGAAATCTGGGTTTACCCGTTGGCCTACGGCTGGCAGCGTTTGTCCTCTAGCTTGCACGCGGTGCATGCCGACATGCACCACCGGGATGATGAGGGGAGGCACAGTGCACTGCGCTGCCAGCCTGGCGGAACAACCATGGGCGGGGAGGGTCATGACTGGGAGAGAGATCAGTTGGAGGAGGGTATGAGGAGGGGTCATGGGGTGGGGTGGGGTGGTGGGGTGTGTGAAACCCAGCAGCATCACATCACATCGCACATGCACCATCCCACTCGTTCTAATTCCACCTAACCACCCTCATCCCACCCCACCATAACACCACCCTTCCGCCCCAATCCAACTCCCCTTCCCTTTTCCCCCGCCCCCCCGTGTCCCCTCCTCTCACCACGCCACGCCTCGGCGCATGGGGCCAACGGTGCGGCCGCCATCCAGCGAGCGAGTGCCCTCGGGGAAGATGTGCACCACCCCGCCGTTGCTCAGCTGCTGTGCCGCTGCTACCATGCCCTGCAGGAGGATAAAGGTGTGCGAAGAGAGGGAAAGAGGTCCGACAGCCCTAGTGAGCGACACATGGCTGGTCTGAGGCAAGCCCCACCCAATGCGCACCCACCCGCCCGCCCGCCCGCCCGCGCTCAGCCGCTCGGCTGCTGCTACCATGCCTGCAGGGGGTTGGGGTGGAGGCGGGAGGGAGTGCACCCACTCGTTTTCATCTAGGCGCTGTGCTGCTGCAGTGCAGCCGATGCAGGGCGCCTGAGCATGCGCTAGCACACTCAGGCGGAGTGGGGCGGGAGGTGAGGGAAAGAGAGTTCCGAGGGGGTTGGTTGGGGGGAGGGGGGGAGAGGGGAGGGAGGTGCATGGCGTGCAGAGGAGTGGAGAAGAAAGAACGCGGGAGGGAGGTCCACACAACAAGTCCCCCCCAGTCCAATCCCAACTCCCACTCACTGGCTGCTGGATTCCCCCTCCCCGCTCCACTGGTAACGCGCCCGCAGTGAGGTGAAGAAGGCGCGAGAGGAGAGAGAGAGGAGAGGCGAGGAGAAGCAGCGTCGGAGGCACAGAGGGTCCAGCGGAGGAGAGGCGGGCGGGAGCGGGCGAGCATGAGGGAGGATGGCGGCACCACTGCTGCCATGACCAGCGGGTCGTCCATTGCTGCCACGTGATTGGCCACCTGGTGGGTGAGGGGAGAGAGGGAGGTTGTATGTATGGTGCACCGTGGAAAGGGGATCAGGGGCAATGGTGGATGGATGAACGAGGGGGGGCAACACCGCTGCTACCACCATTGCTGCCACGTGGTTTGGTGGACACATGACGAGGCGAGGGGAGGCGTTGGGCCGTGGCTAGAGAGACATGCGGTAAGGCAAGGACGTGAAAGCACGTGGTTGGTTTTGAGTCGATCAAAAGCACATGCGGTAAGGCAAGGACGTGAAGCACGTGGTTGGTGGACACATGGCGGGGGAGACGTGGCGCGTTTGGATAAGGGGCATGGGAATAAGGGGTGCAAGGGGGGGGATGGATGAGCTGGCAGGTGAGGGAGAGAGAGAGTGCAGAGGAGTGTGTGTTACGGCTCCTGGAAAACAACAGGCGGGGAAAGCGGAGAGAGGTGAGGGAGAGCGTGTAAGGGACGGTTGATGCAGGGAGTGCAGGCGAGAAGAGGGAGGAAGAGAGGGGTGACGGGGTCGCACAGCATGATGGTCACAAGAAGCACGCACACGTGGGGGAGGAGGCAAGCACACAGGGGGGGCAGCAGTGGTACCGTGAGAGAGGCGTGCCGGGAGGTCGGTGGGCGATGGCGTTGGTGAGCTTGTGAGCGCCGATCACCTGGGGGGGGGGGGGAGGGGGGGAGGGGTATGAGTATGAGGGATGGGCGGAGGGGCGGAGGGGAGGAGGGGAGGAAGGGGGTGGAGGGTGGACACCAAAAGGTGGGCGATGGCGTTTGTGAGCTTGTGCGCGTCAATCACCTGGAGGTGGGGGGGGGGGGGGGGGGGGAGGAGTGTAGGCGAAGGGGGATGGGCGGACGGGGTGGCGGATGCGTGTCGGGGAGTGCAGGGGGAAACATAGTCCAGCAATATAAAACCTTGAACCAGCATAAAGTCGATACGCAACCTAAATGTTGAATACAGAACGAATTCAAGCTGTCACACTAGTTGGTTAGCTATACTCGACCTAAAATATTTGTTATACTGTGGCATGGATGGTGGAGGGAGCAAGGCCAGCAGCAAAGCACAAGGCGGCAGGCACACATATCAGCCCGCCTTGGTGCGGTTGACTGCGGTTGAGCGCACCTCAGTGCGGTTGAGGCCGTGCATGAAGGCGTGTGATACAGCGCCCAGGGCAGGCAGCAGCACTGCCTGCGCCATGCGCACTGCCGCGCTCTGCTGCTCCTCGCCCGCCCCTAACCCCCCACCACCACCGCTTGCCTCGCCCCATCTGCCCCGCTCCCCCGCCCACCCCCTCCGCCTCGCCTCTCTCCCCAAGCTCGCCCGTCGCCTCTATCCTTGTTGCTGTCAACGCCTCTCCTGCTGCACGTTGCGCATCCGCCGTGTCAGTCAGAAGTCCCACCGGCCCCTCCGCAAATCGCGCCGTGAATCGCGCCTTGAATTGCGCGAGCACGCTGTTGCCTTTGAACACGCGCACCGCCGCCAGCGACGACGTCGCCGCAGCCGCCGCCGTCGCCATCGCGCCTTGCGGCCGCCGCCCGCCGCGACGGACGCTTGAAGGGAGCCGTAGGGAGCAGATCCGTAACCGTTGTGGTAACCCGACGCGTACAACCCCTGTGCGCGACACTTGACGCGATTCTTCCATTCGCGAAGCCGTTCGCGAATGATTACACGGTTCGTGTGGATGTGGTGTTGATCCACGCCACGTGGCGTAGAATGATTGGCCCTTTCCATTACGCGGAAAGAAGAGGGGCGCAGCAGCTAGTGGAAAATCGCTGGTCCCGTGGCTTAATCTCTGGTCGCGTGGCTTAATCTCTGGTCGCGTGGTTTAATCGCAAATGGCGGCGAGGGTGGCGACTGAAGCTTGGAACGGCGGGCGGAGAGGAGTGGACGGCAGGCGGAGGGAAGTGAAAGAGGAACAGTCTAATTGGCGCTGAGAATTCGAGCCTGCTTCTGCAGACACAGCCTCACAAGCACTTCGACACCAAGCGCCAGCTACAGCTGTGATGGGGTGAAAATTGGAACTTGTGGAAATGGAAGCATGAAGAGAGAGATCTGGGAATTCAATGAGGGGAAACTGCTTTCATATGGTTTGTTGATGGCTGAGGGCGCAGTCAGAAGTTTGCCCACCATCCGAAGTGAGAGTGGCAACTGTGACGAGGAAGAGCTTTTGTCGAGATCTATTGAAGGAGGTTGACATTACCACAAAACAGAAATATGTTTTGCGTTACTCTTCATAGAAGCACGAGTTGACTAAGAGCATTGCCGGACGAGGTCGCGCTCGTCTGTATCCTGAGCGGGGGCCAACCCTTTGGATTGTTGCACACCTGCGAGACCCTTCGCCTGCCACATAGATGACTCGTCCGTTCCAAGCTTAGAGTCTGCAGCGGCATCTGCCCGGAAGAGCATGTGACGTGGCGGTTAGAGAGGGGGACACCGCGTGAAGGCGGGGCACCAAACCCCCGTCCAGCAGTAGCGCGCTTAAACGCTTTCCCCCCCCCCGTCCCCAGCGACCCCCCGCTCTTAGCGACCCGTGCGCGGCGGTGGTTTTCTCTCGCAGGCTCGTGCCACGGGACCATTTCCAACCCTTTTCCCACCCCCCGCTTTTCCCACCCGCTTTTTCCCACCCGCTTTTTCCCCCCCCGCTTTTCCCCCCCCCCCCCCCCTTCCCCCCCCCCGCTCCCCCCCCCCCCCGCTTTTTCCCCCCCCCCGCTTTTCCCCCCCCGCCTTTCCCCCCCCCCCTTCCCCACCCGCTTTTCCCCCCCCCCCCCCGCCTTCCCCCCCCCCCCCGCTTTCCCCCCCCCCCGCTTTTCCCCCCGCTTTTTCCCACCCGCTTTTTCCCACCCGCTTTTCCCACCGCTTTTCCCACCCCGCTTTTTCCCCACCCGCCTTCCCCACCGCTTCCCCCCCCCGCTTCCCCCCGCTTTTTCCCACCGCTTTTCCCACCCGCTTTTTCCCACCCGCTTTTTCCCACCCGCTTTTCCCACCCGCTTTTCCCCACCCGCTTTCTCCACCCCGCTTTCTCCCACCCGCTTTATCCCACCCGCGTCCTCCCACCCCGCTTTTTTCCCACCCCATGTCATACTCCCACTTTGCTTTCTTGTTCACCCTAATGAAAGTAATCATTCATAATAGTCTTAATTAGTAAATGTTCCTCGTAGTAATCTTCGCGCGGGCGCGCGCGACTGACTCTCATGGCCGCCAGTGCGAGCCGGCGCGACCCTTGCAACGGTCACGATCATGGTAGTAGCGGTCGCGGCGAGAGCGAGCAGTGGCGGAGGGCGCAGGTGCGCGGAATGCTGCGTGCGCCCATGGCTCGCGCGCGAGTGGTGTCCGTCGATGACCTCGTCGATGTTTTGCCGTGCTCCCTTCCTGCCTCTTGCCGTGCTCCCTTCCTGCCTCTTGCCGTGCTCCCTTCCTGCCTCTTGCCGTGCTCCCTTCCTGCCGCCCCCCCTATGCCGCCACGCCTGCTATCCCCCCTGCTAACATGCGCCTTTCTTTCAGCAGCGCGGCGCAGCAGCCGCAGTGGCAGTCACGGAAGCATTAGCTGCGGGAAGGAGAGGCGGGAAATATGAGGGAGGGAGGGGGGGAGGGGAGGGCGAGTTGGGGTTCAGCCGCCGCGCTGCCAGCCACCTGCCAGCCACCAGCCACCTGCCAGCCACCAGCCACCTGCCAGCTACCAGCCACCTGCCAGCCACCTGCCGAGTGTGGGGAGAGTGACGTAGTGAGGTGGGGCATGGTGTGTGCGCGCCACGTGGCGAGAGGGCGGCAGGTGCATGTATTCGTGTACATGCACCACCCGCTCATCCACCCCAGCATGCAAAGCATGCGACCGCCGTGTCCCATCCCCCGGGCGTGTCAGTGGGGGCGACCTTTTCTTTGTGTGACGTTCTGCTGCTCCCCGCCTCACCGCCTCTGCTGGTAGGTAACACCCGCCTCTGCTGGTAGGTAACACCCGCCTCTGCTGGTAGGTAACACCCGCCTCTGCTGGTAGGTAACACCCGCCTCTGCTGGCAGGTAACATCCGCCTCTGCTGGTAGGTAACACCCGCCTCTGCTGGCAGGTAACACCCGCCTCTGCTGGTAGGTAACACCCGCCTCTGCTGGCAGGTAACACCCGCCTCTGCTGGCAGGTAACACCCGCATCTGCTGGCAGGTAACACCCGCATCTGCTGGCAGGTAACACCCGCCTCTGCTGGCAGGTAACACCCGCCTCTGCTGGCAGGTAACACCCGCCTCTGCTGGCAGGTAACACCCGCCTCTGCTGGCAGGTAACACCCGCCTCTGCTGGCAGGTAACACCCGCCTCTGCTGGCAGGTAACACCCGCCTCTGCTGGCAGGTAACACCCGCCTCTGCTGGCAGGTAACACCCGCCTCTGCTGGCAGGTAACACCCGCCTCTGCTGGCAGGTAACACCCGCCTCTGCTGGCAGGTAACACCCGCCTCTGCTGGCAGGTAACACCCGCCTCTGCTGGCAGGTAACACCCGCCTCTGCTGGCAGGTAACACCCGCCTCTGCTGGCAGGTAACACCCGCCTCTGCTGGCAGGTAACACCCGCCTCTGCTGGCAGGTAAACACCCGCCTCTGCTGGCAGGTAACACCCGCCTCTGCTGGCAGGTTTACACCCAGAATGCAACGCGTGCCATGTTCCGCATCGCGCTACACCCACAGCTCTCGTCCAAAGCTGCTGCGTGGCTCGCCTTTCGTGTGTGACGTGTTATCATCAGTCTATGCTGCTGCCTTGCTGTGTCAGGCCTGTGTCGTCTGAATCAGTAGCTTGGCTTGGTGTCGCTACAACAGCGTGCTCCTCGACCTGTGTCTTCTCCGTGTTGCCTTGCTGTTCCACCTGTCATGTCGAGCGCTAATCGCTGCCTCCGCCCACCATGGCCCAGCTCAGGTGACCTGCCCATCTGCCTCGTGCCTGCTGGAATGGCACCACCTGCTGCCTGGGGTGATGCAGCACATAGCAGCAGGGGTGGTGAGATAAGGGGTGGTGAGGATAAGGGGTGGTGAGATAAGGGGTGGTGAGGGCTGGAATTCAGGGCAAGAGGTGGTGCGAGTGCGGATGGTCGCTTGCTCCCAGCATGGAGGGGAAGGAGCATGGAGGGGAGGAGCCATGGAGGGGAGGAGCATGGAGGGGAGGACCACAGTCGTTCAGGGATGGGGAAGGAGTGGGTGAGGGAGGCGGCCAGGGGAGGGGTGGGAAGAGAGAGGTGCGAGGGGAGGCAGCGGCGGGATTGAGGGTGGGGGGAGGCGGTGTGATGTGAGTGGAGGAAGGGGTTGGCAGGAGGAGGCGGGTGCAGAGGGAGTGCGCATTCGATGCTGGGTGAGAGAGGGGTGGTGATGGGTGGGAGTGTTGGGAGATGGTTAAAAGTGGGTGACGGTGGTTATTCATGGAGTGTGCTAGTTTGGTGTGTGTGGTTTGGTGTGTGTGGTTTGGTGTTGTGTGGTTTGGTGTGTGTGGTTTGGTGTGTGTGGTTTGGTGTGTGTGGTTTGGTGTGTGTGGTTTGGTGTGTGTGGTTTGGTGTGTGTGGTTTGGTGTGTGTGGTTTGGTGTGTGTGGTTTGGTGCCTGTGATGAAAACCCGGCCCGGATTTACACACATGAGCACAGGGTGAGCCGATTCAAGTCAAATCCGGTTGTTGCTAACGCAAGAAAACGCCAAAGTGGAAACAGGACCTTGATTACGATTTGAAACTAAGGCCCGAACTCGGCCGAGCTTTACTCGGCTGAGTGATTCTGCAAACGAGGCGAGGTCCTCAAGGAACTCGCCTCATACGTTTGCAGACAGTCCACTCAGATCCTCTCGTGGCATACGATTGAGAATTTTCAAAACTGGCCATGCTCTTGTCACGGTCATTGTTCAGTCGATTCGAAAGCACTCCAGCTCCTTTTCAGAGTCTGCACCTTAGCAGAATCCCGCACGTTTAGTCGGGGACAAACTTTGACTCGGCTCGCTGCTCATGCTGCTGTGGGGTTGTTGTCTCGGAGTGTCTTTCCCATAGCCTTGCCATGGCAGATGCGGTGCACTCCATAAGCAGTCTTGTCACGCTCCCTATTTTCTCCCCCCTTCCCCAGTTAGCAGCAAAGCACGCCATGTGCCTGCTGCTCGTGTGCCCCTCTTTCCGGTCCTTCCACCTCATCCTCCAAACCCCCCTATTCCGTTTCCACCCCTATCCCCAGCTAGCAGCAGTGCACTCCGCGTGCCTGCTGCTTGTGTGACCCCCCCCCACCCCCTGCGCTTTTTTCCGACCACCCAATCCCTTTCCCCTCCACCCTCACCTCCCCCCTCCTTTTCATTCCAACCCCCCTCCCCAACTTGAAACACTGCACTCCGTTCTCCTGCTGGCTGTGCTCCTCCCCCGTCCCCTCCCCTTTTTCCAACCCCCTCTCTCTTTCCGCTTTCCCCACGCCCAACCCATGTTGTCATTCCACCCTCCTTCCCAGCTATCAGCAGTGTATTCCGTCCGCTTGCTGCCTGTGCTCCCCCGCCCTGCCGCTGCCAGCATGTGTGTGTGAGGAGGGGGGGGCCTTGCCTTGCTCCGCCCACAGGCCTGGGCGGCAGCAGGGAGGGCGGCAGCAGGCAGGGAGGCAGCAGGCAGGGAGGCAGCAGGCAGGGAGGCAGCAGGAAGGGTGGCAGCAGCAGGTAGGGTGGCAGGAGGGAGAAAGAGAGATGAAACGTGGGTGTGGGTGGGAGTGTGGAGGGTGGCAGGGGGTAGAATGGATTGGCACGGAGTGAGGGAAGATAATGGGAGTGGGAGTGGTGGTGAGAGTGGTGGTGAGAGTGGTGGTGACAGTGGTGGTGAGAGTGGTGGTGAGAGTGGGCTTGAGCACCAAGACGTACGAATATGTCCTCTGATGGAAGGCGCGAAAATGCCATTTTCATCGTCAGATTTGATGGCAGGAGGGTGTGGGGGGGAGGGGGGGAGGAAAAGGTGCCACGCTTTGAGTTATACTGTTAATGTTGCTGCAACCAGCTGTGCTGCTGAGAGGGGAGGGAGGTGGAAGGGAGGGAGAAGGAGGGGAGGGCGGAGGCAGGGGAGGCGCAAGCAGGGGAGGCGCAAGCAGGGAAAGCGCAAGCAGAGGAAGCACAAGCAGAGGAAGCGCAAGCAGAGGAAGCACAAGCAGAGGAAGCACAAGCAGAGGAAGCACAAGCAGAGGAAGCGTACGCAGAGGAAGCGCAAGCAGAGGAAGCGCAAGCAGAGGAAGCACAAGCAGAGGAAGCACAAGCAGAGGAAGCGCAAGCAGGGGATGTCAGATATATATGACTTAGTGTTTGTAGGCTCTAGTGGGGTAGACACTAAGGGTACATATCTCTAGGGTTTCATATTTGTATCACACACTTTCCTAGTTCATTCATTCGTTCCTCGTGATTCTCACATGGGTATAGAGCGGGTTCCCTAGTGGGACCGTTTTCTTCCTAAGGTCCCACCTTAAATTTTTTTTTTTTCCTAACCTGCCCGAAGCGCGCTTCGCGCTCTGACCTGCCCTACCCTTTCGCGGCCCTTAGCGGCCTGCCCTGCTCCTGAGTTCCCGTCGCGGCCCCCCTTTGCGGCCCTTTCACTGCCCCTTAGCGGCCCCTTCGAGGCCCCTTAGCAGCCTCCCTTCACTGGCCCCTTAGCGGCTCCCTTCGCGGCCCCTTCACGGCCCCTTAGCGGCCCCTTCGAGGCCCCTTAGCGGCCTCCCTTCACGGCCCCTTAGCGGCCCCTTCGCGGCCCTTCAAGGCCCCTTAGCGGCCCCCCTCCGCGGCTCCATCTCGGCCCCTTCGCGGCCCCTTAGCGGCCCCTTCGCGGACCCCTTCGCGGCCCCATCGCGGCCTCTTCGCGGCCCCCCTTCGCGGGCCCCCCTTCGCGGCCCCTTCGCGGCCTCGCCCCGCTGCCCGTAGCGGCCCCGCCCCGTCGCCAGTCGCGGGCCCCGTCCCGTCGCCAGCCGCGCCCCGCCCCGTCGCCAGTCGCGGCCCCGCCCCGCCGCCCCTGCCTCGTCGCGACGCCTCAGCGGGACCCGTGCGTCGCCCCTGCACTCGTTGCGACGCCCCTGCGGGTCCTGCGAGGCGCGGCTCCTGCGCGTCGCCGACGCCCGGCGGGACCCGCGTGGCGTCGCCCCTGCCCGCCGCGGCGCCCTGCCCTAACCCCGCCGCCCTGGCCCCGGGAGCAGCCGCCCCTGCAGCAGCCGCCCCTGGCCCCTGGAGCAGCCGCCCCTGCAGCAGCTGCCCCTGGCCCCTGGAGCAGCCGCCCCTGCAGCAGCTGCCCCTGGCCCCTGAGCAGCCGCCCCTGCAGCAACCACCCCTGGCCCCTGGAGCAGCCGCCCTGACCACTGGAGCAGCCGCCTCTGGCCCCTGGAGCAGCGCCCCTGGCCCCTGGAGCAGCCGCCCCTGCAGCAGCTGCCCCTGCCCCTGGAGCAGCCGCCCCTGCAGCAGCCGCCCCTGGAGCAGCCGGCCCTGCAGCTGCCGCGGAGCCCTCGCCCTGCGGTGTTAGCGGCCTCGCCGTTGCTGCCGTCGTACGCCTGCCCTTCTTGCCACTGGTGAGCAGTGCCCTGCCCGTACTGCTGTTACTGGCTGCTCTTGCTGCTACTTCTGCTCTTTCTACTGCTACTGCTGCTCCTGGCGTGGCCAGATGCAGCTCCAGCGCCGTCCGCCGTGAGTCCCTCACCCCCCAACAACTTCGTGAGTGGTAACGCTAGTTGGGGTTGTAGGGATGGCCGCGCTGCGACTACTGCTACTGCTGCTACTACGGCTAGTACTCGCTAATGCTGCTCCTGCCCGGTGACCAGATGCAGCCCCAGCGACGTCCGCGTGAGTCCCTCACGCCCCAGCAGCTTCGTGAGTGGTACGCTACTTGGGGTTGTCGGGGTGGCCGTAGTGGGATTCGTTTTGGAGTGAGTAGTTCGGGAGCTGCTTCGCGTGGCCAGGTGCAGGTGCAGCGTCGTCCGCGCGGCGGTCCTTTCGCCCCTGTAGCTTCGTGAGTGGTACGCTCAGCGTGGAGCGTCACGGAGTACTGCTCGCTGTCCGTACGTCATTCGCACTGGTGCTCCGACTGGTCAGCCTTGCGGGACGTTTGGTCACACAGAGTCCCGCTACTTTCGCCCGTCTGAGCGACGCCAGGCGTACGGAGTTTGGCGACGCGGCTGAGCTCCCCGACTGGGGTGCAGCTGCTTCGGTAGAGGGTAGATATCTATACTCTTGACTATGATACTATTCTCACTGCCATGTATGCATTCCCTACTAGTGATGAGGGTGACTGTTACCTGTGTGTTCCGCCTGACCCGGGCATTAAGGCTGCTGCTCTAGGTGCTAGTGAGGTTGCTGCTCTAGGAGCTAGTGCGTCTGCTGCTCCAGGTGCTGGTGAGTCTGCTGCTCCAGGTGCTGGTGAGTCTGCTGCCCCAGGTACTGGTGAGTCTGCTCTCTCAGGCACCACGTCGGCTCAGGTTTTGCACACCTTTACCCTTGACTCGGGTGCTTCCCGCTCCTTCTTTCGAGACCGCACCACACTCAAGCCGCTAAGTCGGCCGATTGCAGTCTCCCTGGCAGACCTCTCTGGGGGTCCTGTCCTTGCTAGCTTCTCCACTATCTTACCGTGTCCGGCAGCCCTATCTAGCACCGTGTCAGGTCTTTACCTCCCCTCGTTCTCTACGAACTTGGTAAGTGGTGCTGACCTACAGGATGGACGGGTTGACCAGTTCACTCCTGCGAGTCCGCGAGTGACCCACTGTACGTATGCTCGGACGGGCCGACACTTGGCCACGTTTACCCGTCAGCCGGGGTCGAGCCTGTATACACCGTCTACTGAGTCTCCTCCGGTTGCTGCGTCTGGTTAGGTAGCTGCGTCGGGTGAGGTGTTTGCTGCAGCGTCTAGGTCTGGTCCTTAGTCTGCCCCCTGCTCGTGTCGTCTCCTGTCTCACCAGACTCTCCTCTGGCACCACCCGCCTTGGTCACCCCTCCCTGCCTCGTCTCCGAGGCATGGCCTCCCGTGTCCTTGTCTCTGGTCTCCCCCGGTCCCTCCCTCCTCTTCCCCCGGGGCTTGCCCCTACCTGCGTTCCCTGCGTCAAGGGGCGGCAGCGCGCCGCTCCTCACTCCTCCGTGTTTCCTCCGACAGAGGCTCCGCTGCAGACGCTTCACCTGGACGTGTGGGGCCCCGCCCGCGTCCGTGGACAGGGTCACGAGCGTTACTTCCTGCTGGTAGTTGACGACTACTCGCGTTACACCACAGTCTTCCCCTTGCGCAGCAGCAAGGGTGAGGTCACTGAGATGTTAGATCGAATGGATCCGCGCAGCTCGTCTCCAGCTCAGAGAGAGTTCCGGCTCGGACTTTTCTGTTCTGCGTCTGCACTCCGACAGAGGCGGAGAGTTTTCCTCTGACCTTCTGCGAGCCTACTGTCGTGCACGGGGCATCCGCCAGACGTTCACGCTTCCAGCCTCTCCACAACAAAATGGGATTGCTGAGCGCCACATTGGTATGGTCGTGGACGTCGCTCGTACGTCCATGATCCATGCGGCTGCTCCCCATTTCCTGTGGCCGTTCGCGGTTCAGTACGCGGCGCATCTGATCAACCTTCAGCCCCGGGTCTCCTTGCCGGAGGACCTCTCCTACTTTGCAGTGGACGGGGAAGGTTGGCGATGCGTCTGCGTTCCGTGTCCGGGGATTTCGAGCTTTTGTCCCGCGACTTGTCTGCGGACAAGCTGTCCTGCCGTGCTGTTCTCTGCGTCCTCCTTGTCTTCCGCCTTGACGCGCCTGGTTGGCAGTTTTACCACCTTACCTCGCGCCGTGTTTTGTCCTCCCAGGACGTCGCGTTTTGACGAGTCAGTTCCTTACTACCGTCTCTTCCCCTACCGCATTGCACCCCTCCCCCCGCCGCTGCTCATCCTCGCGCCAGGTCCCTTCCCGATAGACCCGCTTCCCCCTCAGGGTCCTGCCCCCTCTGGTGTGTCCCAGGTAGACGCAGTCGAGCCTGTCAAGGTAGGTGTTGACTCTGGTGCTGCTAGGGGTGCTGAGCCTGCGGGTGCGGAGTCTGGGGGTGCTGAGCCTGAGGGTGGTGAGCCTGGGGGTGCTGCGAGTGGGGGTGCGGAGCCTGAGGGTGCTGGGCCTGCTAGTGTGGAGTCAGGCGGTACTGGTTCTGGAGGTCCTTCGGGTGCTTCGTCCTGGCGGGAGCTACCCTCTCCACAGGAGCTGCGCGAGTGGTTTGCTCGGCGCTGGAGCCGTGCTGCTGGAGCTGGAAGTGCTGCTGGAGCTAGAGGTTCTACTGGAGCTGGAGGTGCTGCTGGAGCTGGAGGTTCTATTGCTGCTGAGGGTGCTGGTGCCACGGGTCCCAGAGGTGCTCGTACTGGAGGTACTGGAGCTGCTGGGCCTGGGGGTGCTCGTGGTGCTGGAGCTGCTGGCGGTGCTGGAGCTGGCGGTGCTACTGGAGTAAGTGCTGCTGGAGGTACTGGAGCTGGGGCTGTTGAGTCTTCAGGTGGTCCTGCTGGAACTGGAGCTGCTGGTGTTGGTGCTTCTAAGGGTGGTGGAGTTGGCGCTGCTGGAGCTGGGGGTGTCAGAATGTTATTCTTATGTTCTAGCCTGTAGTGGGGTGCTCTATAGCGAGTACAACCCTTCTAGGGTTTGCTATTTGTGTCCCCATTTCTGCTAGTTCAACCCTCTTTTTTCTTCTAATTTTGACATGCTATCAGAGCAGGTCGATCCCTTTGGATCGATCCTGTGGGTGTGTCCCCACCTCGCTTCCGCTGCTACTTTTTTTTACCTCCCGCCGTGCGCCCCGAGGCGCGCGGCGGTTTTCTGCCCGCCGTGCGCCCCGAGGCGCGCGGCGGTTCTTTGCCCGCTGTGCGCCCCGAGGCGCGCGGCGGGCTTCTGCCCTACGCCCCGCCCCGACCGTCGCGGCCCCGCCCTTCGACGCGGCCCCGCCCTTCGTCGCGGCCCCGCCCCGGCCCGTCGCCGCCCGTGCGCCTGCCCGGCTCGGCCCCGCTCTACGTCGCGGCCCCGCCCCGGCCCGTCGCCGCCCGTGCGCCTGCCCGGCTCGGCCCCGCCCTACCTTTGCGGCCCCGCCCTATGTCGCGGCCCCGACCGTCGCGGCCCCGCCCCTCGTCGCTGGCATCGGCCCCCCCCCCCCCCCCCCACCCCCTCCCCCCTTTTCTCCCCTCCCTGCCATTTCCCGTCGCCCGTCGCGGCTCCTTCGGGGGCCGCAAGCGGCCCCCTCAGGTCGCCACGACGGACGACGGGAGGGGCGAGCTGTTGGGTGGCGGGTATGGGGGTGCTCGGTGGGCCTTCCTCCCTTTGCTCCTCCTCCTCCTCCGTCTCCCACTGCTGCAGCTGTCGCTGAGGGGGGTGGTTGTGTGGGAGACTCGGGTTTAGGGTTTAAGGGGGGTGCGTGGGAGTGGAGCTAGGGGTGTATCAGCGGGTGTGTGTTGGGGGAGTTGGATAGTTAGGGAAGCTGCATGGAGGTTGCCGTCGTGTCGTCAGCAGCACCTGTATTCCGGGGGCTTCGCCCGGTAGCCCAGTCGTAGCCAGCTGTGCCAGCCGCCCGTGGGTCCGTTGCTCGTCTGCCGCTACTTTAGCCGCGGGGCCAGTTACTCCAGTAGTCCGGGGGCTTCGCCCGGTAGCCGCTGTGCCAGTGTGCCTCCTGTTGCCCGTGTGTCTGCAGCTTCAGCCGTCGCCTCCCAACTCCTCTCGCTCTCACTCCTCCTCCTCACTTGCCCGTTGTGACCACCACTAGCTTTGCTGATAATTGTGCACTTGAACTTGCTTCTTGAACTTGTGCTCAGAATGTGTGGTGACATTGTGATCCACCCTGAGCTTGTACTGCTTTGCTTGCTCTGCTGATTACACCCCACTCTGGCTATGGGGGTGTGTCAGAATGTTATTCTTATGTTCTAGCCTGTAGTGGGGTGCTCTATAGCGAGTACAACCCTTCTAGGGTTTGCTATTTGTGTCCCCATTTCTGCTAGTTCAACCCTCTTTCTTCTTCTAACTTTTGACAGGGGGTGCTACTGGCGCTGGTGCTGCCGCTGGGGGTGCTGGTACTGTACATGATGGTTCTGGAGGCGCTGCGCGGCCGCGGCCGTCCTTCGTTCCGCTCCTTGAGCATGTTCATGGTCTCCCGCCTTCTGCTGGTCGTGCTCCTTCCTTACAGTGTCCACCGCCTGTCCGGTCCGAGTCACAGTTACAGCCCGCATCCCCACTACCTGCCCTTTCTTCCTACACTGGTCCTACTGGAGGTCTTGCTGAACGTTGTGAGCCTACGTCTCGTCCTGCGTCGCCTGTTCGTGCTGGTCGCACTAGTCGTCGTGTTCCGCGTCAGCGTCCTCCTGCGGTCCCAGGCACGCACCAGATGGCACTGCGTCCTTCCACTGCTCCACTACTTGTCCCTTTGCCGTCTCCTCCAGAGTCCTCTCTTCCTGTTCTTGCTGACCCGGAGTCTGTCTCTCTTCGTGCTGCCAGTCCTACTGTCACGCGCCTTCTGGCTATTGTTGTCACTGACCCTTCCTTTGAGTTCACTGCTGCGTCTGCCCTATTTGCTGATCTTGTCGACTTCGCTGCTCGCTGTCGTCTAGACTACGCCGCTAGTCTTGTTGCTGAGTCTGAGTCTGTCTGTCCTCCGTCCGTCGGGGGTGAGTGTGCTCTTAGCAAGGACGTCCTTAAGGACAGGCAGGAGGAGTTCCAGTGTTTTGCTGCTGCATTACCTCATCTCGTGTCTATGCTGACTGCCCCTGAGAGAGACCCGGATGCACCAGACATCCCGACTCCGCGCTCTTAGGCATAGGCAATAGAGGGTCCCTACTCCTCTCAGTGGCAGTCAGCCATGGACGCAGAGATGGCTTCCTGGAAGTCCACAGGCACCTACGTCGACGAGGTTCCCCCACCTGGGGCGAACATCGTCAGTGGCATGTGGATTTTTAGGGTGAAGCGGCCGCCGGGTTCTCCGCCTGTCTTCAAGGCGCGTTACGTGGCTCGAGGCTTCAGTCAGCGGCAGGGAGTTGACTACTTTCAGACCTTGCTTCGACTTCACGTACTCCTTGCCTCAGACCACTCCTCTGTCTACTCACCACTCGCTCTCAGCTCTGCCTTCGGATGAGTCCGTAGAGCCGAGTGGCCTGTACCTAGAGCTTGTTGGCTGCCTCATGTACCTGATGACCTGCACTCGACCTGACCTTGCATACCCTCCTAGCATCTTGGCACGCTATGTTGCTCCTGGGAGACACGGACCAGAGCACATGACTGCAGCGAAGAGGGTGTTGCGCTACTTGTGCAGTACGTCGGGCATGGGGCTTGTGCTTGGAGGGCGGAGTCCAATGGTCCTCACTGGTAACGTAGACGCTTCTTGGGCAGACGACCAGGCTACGCAGCGGTCGTCATAGGGTTACACCTTCAGCCTTGGTTCCGGCTCTGTCTCGTGGCGGTCTACCCGCTCGTCTTCTGTTCTCGGCTCCAGCTGTGAGGCTGAGATCTACGCAGGGGCCATGGCTGCACAGGAGATACGCTGGCTCACCTACCTGTTGACCGACATAGGAGAGCCGCTTCGTTCTCCTCCACTTCTGTACGTAGACAACAAGGCCATGCTGGCCTTCTGTCGGGAGCACAGACTGGAGCACAGAACGAAGCACATTGCACTTGGCTACTTCCTTGCTCGTGAGCTGCAGCAACGTGGTCAGTTGCACCTTTCTTACGTGGCCTCTCGAGCCAACACGGCTGATATCTTTACCAAGGCACTTCAGCCTTGTGATCATCAGCGCTTTAGTACAATGCTAGGTCTTCTGCCTACTTGGCCTCACTTGCTCACTTCTTGACCTTGCTTGGACTCTGATCTTTCTATACCTGCACTTGCTTGTTTACCTTTATATATAATCCTTCATGTGAACTGGCCTTGTGGCCTTGAACTGGTGCTCGGAATGTCTGGTGACATTGTGATCCACTCTGAGCTTGCTTTGCTTGACTAGTCTTGTGACCCCTAGTTCTCCCCCAAATTGCTTATGGGGGTGTGTCAGATATATATGACTTAGTGTTTGTAGGCTCTAGTCGGGTAGACACTGTACAGGTCTCTAGGGTTTCATATTTGTATCACACACTTTCCTAGTTCATTCGTTCATTCCTCGTGAATCTCACAGAGGAAGCGCAAGCAGAGGAAGCACAAGCAGAGGAAGCACAAGCAGAGGAAGCACAGGCAGAGGAAGCGCAAGCAGAGGAAGCACAAGCAGAGGAAGCACAAGCAGAGGAAGCGCAAGCAGAGGAATCGGAAGCAGAGGAAGCGCAAGCAGAGGAAGCACAAGCAGAGGAAGCGCAAGCAGAGGAAGCACAAGCAGAGGAAGCGCAAGAAGAGGAAGCACAAGCAGAAGAAGCAACAGCAGAGGAATCGCAAGCAGAGGAAGCACAAGCAGAGGAAGCACAAGCAGAGGATCGCAAGGAGAGGAAGCGCAAGAAGAGGAAGCGCAAGCAGAGGAAGCGCAAGCAGAGGAAGCGCAAGCAGAGGAAGCACAAGCAGAGGAAGCACAAGCACAGGAAGCACATGCAGAGGAAGCGCAAGCAGAGGAAGCGCAAGCAGAGTAAGCACAAGTAGAGGAAGCACAAGAAGAGGAGCGCAAGCAGAGGAAGCGCAAGCAGAGGAAGCACAAGCAGAGGAATCACAAGCTGAGGAAGCACAAGCAGAGGAAGCGCAAGCAGAGGAAGCACAAGCATAGGAAGCACAAGCAGAGGAAGCGCAAGCAGAGGAAGCACAAGCAGAGAAAGCACAAGCAAAGGAAGCGCAAGCAGAGGAAGCACAAGTAGAGGAAGCGGAAGTAGAAGAAGCACAAGCAGAGGAAGCGCAAGCAGAGGAAGCACAAGCAGAGGAACCACAAGCAAAGGAGCGCAAGCAGAGGAAGCGCAAGCAGAGGAAGCGCAAGCAGAGGAAGCGCAAGCAGAGGATGCGCAAGTAGAGGAAGCGCAAGTAGAGGAAGCGCATGTAGAGGAAGCGCAAGCAGAGGAGTCACAACCAGAGGAAGCGCAAGCAGAGGAAGTGCAAGCAGAGGAAGCACAAGAAGAGGAAGCACAAGCAGAGGAAGCACAAGCAGAGGAAGCGCGAGCAGAGGAAGCGCAAGCAGAGGAAGCGTAAGCAGAGGAAGCACAAGCAGATGAAGCGCAAGCAGAGGAAGCACAAGCAGAGGAAGCGCAAGAAGAGGAAGCACAAGCAGAGGAAGCACAAGCAGAGGAGCGCAAGCAGAGGAAGCGCAAGCAGAGGAAGCACAAGAAGAGGAAGCGCAAGCGGAGGAAGCACAAGGAGAGGAAGCGCAAGCGGAGGAAGCACAAGCAGAGGAAGCGCAAGCAGAGGAAGCACAAGAAGAGGAAGCGCAAGCGGAGGAAGCACAAGCAGAGGAAGCGCAAGCAGAGGAAGCATTAGCAGAGGAAGCACAAGAAGAGGAGCGCAAGCAGAGGAAGTGCAAGCAGAGGAAACGCAAGCAGAGGAAGCACAAGCAGAGGAAGCGCAAGTAGAGGAAGCACAAGCAGAAGAAGCACAAGCAGAGGAAGCGCAAGCAGAGGAAGCACAAGCAAGGAAGTGCAAGCAGAGGAAACGCAAGTAGAGGAAGCACAAGCAGAGGAAGCGCAAGTAGAGGAAGCACAAGCAGAAGAAGCACAAGCAGAGGAAGCGCAAGCAGAGGAAGCACAAGCAAGGAAGCACAAGAAGAGGAAGCGCAAGCAGAGGAAGCGCAAGTAGAGGAAGCACAAGCAGAGGAAGCACAAGGAGAGGAGCGCAAGCAGAGGAAGCGCAAGCAGAGGAAGCACAAGCAGAGGAAGCACAAGCAGAGGAAGCACAAGCAGAGGAAGCGCAAGCAGAGGAAGCGCAAGCAGAGGAAGCACAAGCAGAGGAAGCACAAGGAGAGGAGCGCAAGCAGAGGAAGCGCAAGCAGAGGAAGCACAAGCAGAGGAAGCACAAGCAGAGGAAGCACAAGCAGAGGAAGCGCAAGCAGAGGAAGCACAAGCAGAGGAAGCACAAGTAGAGGAAGCACATGCAGAGGAAGCACAAGCAGAGGAAGCACAAGCAGAGGAAGCACAAGCAGAGGAAGAACAAGCAAAGGAAGCGCAAGCTAAAGAAGCACAAGCAGAGGAAACGCAAGCAAAGGAAGCACAAGCTGAGGAAGCACAAGAAGAGGAAGCGCAAGCAGAGGAAGCACAGGCAGAGGAAGCTCAAGCGGAGGAAGCGTAAGCAGAGGATGCACAAGCAGAGGAAGAACAAGCAAAGGAAGCGGAAGCTGAAGAAGCACAAGCAGAGGAAACGCAAGCAAAGGAAGCACAAGCAGAGGAAGCACAAGCAGAGGAGCGCAAGCAGAGGAAGCGCAAACAGAGGAAGCGCAAGAAGAGGAAGCACAAGCAGAGGAAATGCAAGCAGAGGAAGCGGGAGCTGAGGAGTCACAACCAGAGGAAGCGCAAGCAGAGGAAGCGCAAGCAAAGGAAGCACAAGCAGAGGAAGCACAAGCAGAGGAAGCACAAGCAGATGAAGCGTGAGCAGAGGAAGCGCAAGCTGAGGAAGCGTAAGCAGAGGAAGCACAAGCAGAGGAAGCGCAAGCAGAGGAAGCACAAGCAGAGGAAGCACAAGCAGAGGAGCGCAAGCAGAGGAAGCGCAAGCAGAGGAAGGGCAAGAAGAGGAAGCACAAGCAGAGGAAGCGCAAGAAGAGGAAGCGCAAGTAGAGGAAGCGCAAGCAGAGGAAGCACAAGAAGAGGAAGCGCAAGCGGAGGAAGCACAAGCAGAGAAAGCGCAAGCAGAATAAGCACAAGCAGAGGAAGCACAAGAAGAGGAGCACAAGCAGAGGAAGTGCAAGCAGAGGAAACGCAAGCAGAGGAAGCACAAGCAGAGGAAGCGCAAGTAGAGGAAGCACAAGTAGAAGAAGCACAAGCAGAGGAAGCGCAAGCAGAGGAAGCACAAGCAAGGAAGCACAAGTAGAGGAAGCGCAATCAGAGGAAGCGCAAGCAGAGGAAGCACAAGCAGAGGAAGCACAAGGAGAGGAGCGCAAGCAGAGGAAGCGCAAGCAGAGGAAGCACAAGCAGAGGAAGCACAAGCAGAGGAAGCACAAGCAGAGGAAGCGCAAGCAGAGGAAGCACAAGCAGAGGAAGCACAAGTAGAGGAAGCACATGCAGAGGAAGCACAAGCAGAGGAAGCACAAGCAGAGGAAGCACAAGCAGAGGAAGAACAAGCAAAGGAAGCGCAAGCTGAAGAAGCACAAGCAGAGGAAACGCAAGCAAAGGAAGCACAAGCAGAGGAAGCACAAGCAGAGCAAGCGCAAGCAGAGGAAGCACAAGCAGAGGAAGCTCAAGCGGAGGAAGCGTAAGCGGAGGATGCACAAGCTGAGGAAGAACAACCAAAGGAAGCGCAAGCTGAAGAAGCACAAGCAGAGGAAGCGCAAGCAAAGGAAGCACAAGCAGAGGAAGCACAAGCAGAGGAGCGCAAGCAGAGGAAGCGCAAGCAGAGAAAGCGCAAGAAGAGGAAGCACAAGCAGAGGAAGCGCAAGCAGAGGAAGCGGAAGCTGAGGAGTCACAACCAGAGGAAGCGCAAGCAGGGAAGCGCAAGTTGAGGAAGCACAAGAAGAGGAAGCAAAAGTAGAGGAAGCACAAGCAGAGGAAGCGCGAGTTGAGGAAGCGCAAGCAGAGGAAGCGTAAGCAGAGGAAGCACAAGCAGAGGAAGCGCAAGCAGAGGAAGCACAAGCAGAGGAAGCACAAGCAAAGGAAGCGCAAGCAGAGGAAGCACAAGTAGAGGAAGAGGAAGCAGAAGAAGCACAAGCAGAGGAATCGCAAGAAGAGGAAGCACAAGCAGAGGAAGCACAAGCAGAGGAGCGCAAGCAGAGGAAGCGCAAGCAGAGGAAGCGCAAGCAAAGGAAGCGCAAGCAGAGGATGCGCAAGGAGAGGAAGCGCAAGTAGAGGAAGCGCAAGTAGACGAAGCGCAAGCAGAGGAGTCACAACCAGAGGAAGTGCAAGCAGAGGAAGCGCAAGCAGAGGAAGCACAAGAAGAAGAATAACAAGCAGAGGAGGCACAAGCAGAGGAAGCACAAGGAGAGGAGCGCAAGCAGAGCAAGTGCAAGTAGAGGAAACGCAAGCAGAGGAAGCACAAGCAGAGGAAGCGCAAGTAGAGGAAGCACAAGCAGAAGAAGCACAAGCAGAGGAAGCGCAAGCAGAGGAAGCGCAAGCAGAGGAAGGGCAAGAAGAGGAAGCACAAGCAGAGGAAGCGCAAGAAGAGGAAGCGCAAGCAGAGGAAGCGCAAGCAGAGGAAGCACAAGAAGAGGAAGCGCAAGCGGAGGAAGCACAAGCATAGAAAGCGCAAGCAGAATAAGCACAAGCAGAGGAAGCACAAGAAGAGGAGCGCAAGCAGAGGAAGTGCAAGCAGAGGAAACGCAAGCAGAGGAAGCACAAGCAGAGGAAGCGCAAGTAGAGGAAGCACAAGTAGAAGAAGCACAAGCAGAGGAAGCGCAAGCAGAGGAAGCACAAGCAAGGAAGCACAAGTAGAGAAAGCGCAAGCAGAGGAAGCGCAAGCAGAGAAAGCACAAGCAGAGGAAGCACAAGGAGAGGAGCGCAAGCAGAGGAAGCGCAAGTAGAGGAAGCACAAGTAGAGGAAGCACAAGCAGAGGAAGCACAAGCAGAGGAAGCTCAAGCAGAGGAAGCACAAGCAGAGGAAGCACAAGTAGAGGAAGCACATGCAGAGGAAGCACAAGCAGAGGAAGCACAAGAAGAGGAAGCACAAGCAGAGGAAGAACAAGCAAAGGAAGCGCAAGCTGAAGAAGCACAAGCAGAGGAAACGCAAGCAAAGGAAGCACAAGCAGAGGAAGCACAAGCAGAGGAAGCGCAAGCAGAGGAAGCACAAGTAGAGGAAGCTCAAGCGGAGGAAGCGTAAGCAGAGGATGCACAAGCTGAGGAAGAACAAGCAAAGGAAGCGCAAGCTGAAGAAGCACAAGCAGAGGAAACGCAAGCAAAGGAAGCACAAGCAGAGGAAGCACAAGCAGAGGAGCGCAAGCAGAGGAAGCGCAAGCAGAGGAAGCGCAAGAAGAGGAAGCACAAGCAGTGGAAGCGCTAGCAGAGGAAGCGGAAGCTGAGGAGTCACAAACAGAGGAAGCGCAAGCAGAGGAAGCGCAAGTTGAGGAAGCACAAGCAGAGGAAGCAAAAGCAGAGGAAGCACAAGCAGAGGAAGCGCGAGTTGAGGAAGCGCAAGCAGAGGAAGCGTAAGCAGAGGAAGCACAAGCAGAGGAAACGCAAGCAGAGGAAGCACAAGCAGAGGAAGCACAAGCAAAGGAGTCACAACCAGAGGAAGTGCAAGCAGAGGAAGCGCAAGCAGAGGAAGCACAAAAAGAGGAAAATCAAGCAGAGGAAGCACAAGCAGAGGAAGCACAAGAAGAGGAAGCACAAGCAGAGGAAGCACAAGCAGAGGAAGCGCGAGCAGAGGAAGCGCAAGCAGAGGAAGCGTAAGCAGAGGAAGCACAAGCAGAGGAGCGCAAGCAGAGGAAGCGCAAGCTGAGGAAGCGCAAGCAAAGGAAGCGCAAGCAGAGGATGCGCAAGGAGAGGAAGCGCAAGTAGAGGAAGCGCAAGCAGAGGAGTCACAACCAGAGGAAGCGCAAGCAGAGGAAGCGCAAGCAGAGGAAGCACAAGAAGAGGAAGCACAAGCAGAGGAAGCACAAGGAGAGGAAGCACAAGAAGAGGAAGCACAAGCAGAGGAAGCACAAGCGGAGGAAGCGCGAGCAGAGGAAGCGCAAGCAGAGGAAGCGTAAGCAGAGGAAGCACAAGCAGAGGAAGTGCAAGCAGAGGAAGCACAAGCAGAGGAAGCGTAAGAAGAGGGAGCACAAGCAGAGGAAGCACAAGCAGAGGAGCGCAAGCAGAGGAAGCGCAAGCAGAGGAAGCACAAGAAGAGGAAGCGCAAGCGGAGGAAGCACAACCAGAGGAAGCGCAAGCAGAGGAAGCACAAGCAGAGGAAGCACAAGAAGAGGAGCGCAAGCAGAGGAAGTGCAAGCAGAGGAAACGGAAGTAGAGGAAGCACCTGCAGAGGAAGCGCAAGTAGAGGAAGCACATGCAGAAGAAGCACAAGCAGGGGAAGCGCAAGCAGAGGAAGCACAAGCAAGGAAGCACAAGTAGAGGAAGCGC